GGGGGTATATGTTTTCTCTAACGTACAACTCATTGATTTATGCCTGTGCATTTTGCTACGCAACAAATACAACAACTATGCCTCAATCATGTGGTCCGCTGTATCATTATCCATTTCACTCCATTTGGATCTGTTATATTCCAATATGCCAACATTTATGCTAATGGTGTAAAAACTATGTCTATTGTGCTTGCCGGCAAACCAAAAAGATAACTGTGTATAACTTCATTATCAGCCCCAATCAACATCATGCATTCTTTCCATATTCTTAAATGAGAGAAGGAATGAAAATAGATGCATTCTGATCTTTAGTTATTTAGCAACATGTATGTTGGCTAATTCACTTTGTGAATATTCATGTTTATGAGAGAATTCACATGATTCCATTGATCAATGCTGTTGTGATATGTGATATTCTTTGTTTTGTCATTTTCTGGGATAAGAAATGAACTAGAAAATCACTTTTAGCTGCAGTTTTGATGTTGTTCAGGTAGAAACATTACAAGTTCCGCATGAAGAATAATGCTTTGCCTCTCCAGGAAACTACACATTCCCTTATTTCTGCTCTTAAAGGATTTGTTTTGTCTCTTCAGTACTAAAGATCTTGCCATCATCAGAAAAAAAGTAGAATAAGGGAGCTTAAACCTTTTAATAGTCAAAGCTGAAGCATAATCTTTTTTTTTCATTACACCATGATTACCCTCCTCTAGCAAAAGAAGACTTCGTGAGAACTTTGGGAAGACTAATTTCGAAACATCTATCAAACACTTGAAATTCGAGAGTTTTCTACCTTGTAAGTAGCTTAATTATAATTTCAGTTATTTTTTATTCTGTATTCTCAAATTCGAGTAATGCATATATAATTTTACCGGCAGCAACCCCTCCAAGATCAGTCTTAAGGTCTTATTCAACCGGAGATTCTCTCTACGATCTTCCTTTTTCTCTCTCTAAATGTTTATAGTTTGACTGTTTCTCCAGCATTAACCGGTGAGCTCGATTTTTTTTTTGTTTTTGTTTTTTTTGTTTTGTTTTTTTTTTCCTTTAAATTTCTCTGTAGTTACTCCTATATTTTGTTCTTATTATACGTTTTTCTCGTAGCTGGAGAATCAATTTCTGTTGCTTATCTCAGTAAATTACGAATAAATTCAATCGCATTATTCTCCTGTTGTTTCGAATTCAATTATCATTTTGTGCTATTGATTTGAATTGGTACTAGAAGAGTTACTGAAAATTTTAATTTTTTTTTTTTTTGGTCAAGTTGCTGTTTGATCGGATAGTAACATTAACTTTTTTCCAGATATATTCATTTATTTGTTTGTAGTACTGCCTTCTTTTCTCAAGCTAGATCTATCTCTCTGCTGGGCATCACCAGTGGTAGCGGTGACAACCCTTATTTGTTTGGTTCCGTGGAATTTTCTGTGTATTTCAGGTTAGGACCGGTGGCTTTGGGCGGCGAGCGAGACGGGCACGTGCAAACAGTGAAGTACAACACAAGTGTTAGCAAGGGACGGCAGGAGTTGGACGTGAACGAGCTAGGTGGCCGCAAAACTGTCGGGTATACCAAGTTAATTCCCAGGTTCTACTCACGGGAGTTGGTACCTCCCATTTTCCTGTTTCCCTCTATTGTGTCAGTGGAATTGTTGTAGTCTGAGTTCTTATTAGTTTGTTCACCGCGTTAGTGTGCCTGTAGTGGCATTTTGTCTTTTCTAGTTTGATCTGTTGTGTGTGTTAGTTATTCCCCTTAGTTCGTCGGAGGTATAGTGGCTGTGGTCTGGGATGGTCAAGTGTGCTCATTTCTTCGGGGGGTGGGTCGGGAGGTAGGGCGGGGGTTAGGGGGTGAGTTGGGAGGCAGGGGAGGTAAAGGGAACAAGGGTGTTTACCGGTTGCGAATTGGGTCATGGAATGTAGGTACATTGACAGGTAAGTCTATGGAGTTGGCAAAGATCCTCCAGAAGAGAAGGGTCAATATAGCGTGTGTCCAGGAGACAAGGTGGGCAGGGTCGAAAGCGAGGGACGCGGACGGGTATAAACTTTGGTACTCAGGAACCCAGAAGGGTAGGAATGGAGTGGGTATTTTGGTGGATAGGGAACTTCGAGAGTCTGTGGTTGAGGTTAGACGAGTGAATGGTAGGTTGATGATTATTAAGTTGGTGGTAGGTTAGTGCATCCTAAACGTCGTTAGCGCATATGCGCCTCATGCGGGCCTAGATGAGTAGGTTAAACGACGCTTTTGGGAGGGGTTAGATGAGTTGTTCGTCAGGTACCACCTGCTGAGAAGGTATTTATAGGAGGAGATTTCAATGGTCATATTGGGTCAACCGCAGATGGGTATGTCGAAGTGCATGGAGGCTTCGGTTTTGGGGAGAGGAATGGAGGAGGAACCTCGTTACTGGACTTTGCTAAGGCTTTTGGGTTGGTGATTGCGAACTCTAGCTTTCCGAAGAGGGAGGAGCATTTGGTTACTTTTCAGAACGCGGTGGCACAAACTCAGATTGACTATCTCCTCCTCAGGAGGTGTGACAGAGGGTTGTGCAAGGATTGCAAGGTGATACCAGGTGAGATACTCATGACGCGACATAGGCTCTTGGTGATGGACGTTGGTATTATGGTGAAGAAGAGGAAAATGTGTGCTCGAGGAAGACCGAGAATCAGGTGGGGAGCCTTAACTAAGGATAAAGCCCAAGAATTGGAGGGGAGGTTGTCGGCTATGGGAGCTTGGAGAAGCAGTGGTAACGCGAGCACTATGTGGTCAACGACAGCTGACTGTATAAGAGAGGCTGCGAGAGAGGTGTTAGGGGTCTCGACGGGCGTCGCCGGAAAGCACAAAGGTGACTGGTGGTGGAATGAAGTGGTACAAGGTAAAGTGGAAGCGAAGAAGGAGGCGTACTGGACGTTAGTGGGGAGCATAGGTGAGGAGGAGAGGCGAGTGTGCATGGAGAGGTATAAGGTAGCTAGGAACAACGCGAAACTGGCAGTCAGAGAGGCTAAGACTGCGGCTTATAGTCGTATGTACGAGGAGCTAGGGGAAAAAGGCGGAGAGAAGAAGTTATTTAGGCTGTCCAAGCTGAGAGAGAGGAAAGCTCGAGATTTAGACCGAGTGAGATGCATCAAGGACGACGATGGTAGAGTATTGATGGAAGATTCCCAGATTAAGAGGAGATGACAGACTTACTTTCAAAAACTTCTTAACGAAGCAGAGGATCGGGATATTGTGCTCGGTGGATTGGAGTATTCCGAGAGTCACAATGACCTTGGGTACTGCAGGCGCATCAAGGTTGAGGAGGTCGCGGGAGCTATGAGTAAGATGAGTAGGGGCAAAGCGACCTGGCCTGACGAGATTCCGGTAGAATTTTGGAAGTGTGTGGGGAAAGCAGGTTTGGAGTGGTTGACTAGGTTGTTGAATGTTATTTTTAAGGCGAAGAGGATGCCGGAAGAGTGGAGGTGGAATACGGTGGTCCCACTGTATAAGAACAAGGGTGATATTCAAAGCTGTAACAATATAGGGGTATCAAATTACTGAGTCATACTATGAAAATATGGGAGAGGGTGGTTGAAGCGAGGTTGAGGATGACGGTGTCCGTTGACAACCAGTTTGGTTTCATGCCAGGTCGTTCTACTACAGAAGCTATACACCTTGTTAGGAGGTTGGTTGAACAGTATAGGGATAGGAAGAAAGACCTGAATATGGTGTTTATTGACCTAGAAAAAGCGTATGATAAGGTTCCTAGAGAAGTTCTTTGGAGAAGCTTGAAGGCAAAAGGCGTGCCGGTTCCCTACATTATGGCGATTAAGGACATGTATGATGGGGCGAAGACTCGGGTTAGGACAGTAGGAGGCGACTCTGAGGATTTTCCAGTTGTTATGGGGTTACACCAAGGTTCTGCGCTCAACCCGTTCTTATTCGCCCTGGTGATGGACGCATTGACATATCACATTCAAGGGTATGTCCCATGGTGCATGCTATTCGCCGACGACATAGTTCTGATTGATGAGTCGCTAACCGATGTCAACGAGAGGCTGGAGGTTTGCAGACAGACCCTTGAATCTAAGGGTTTCAAGCTTAGCAGGACAAAGGCGGAATACTTGGAGTGTAAGTTCAGTGCTGAGCAGAGGGAAGTGGGCGTGGATGTGAGGCTTGAATCACAGGTCATCCCGAGTAGAGGCAGCTTCAAGTACCTTGGGTCGGTTATCCACGGGGGAGGGGAGATCGACGAGGATGTTACACACCGTATTGGGGTAGGATGGATGAAGTGGAGATTAACATCTAGAGTATTGTGTGACAAGAGAGTGCCACTGATACTCAAAGGTAAGTTCTATAAAGCGGTGGTTAGGCCGGCCATGATGTATGGGGCTGAGTGTTGGCCGGTTAAGAAATCACATATCCAGAGGATGAAGGTAGCCGAAATGAGGATGATGAGGTGGATGTGCAGGCATATTAGGATGGATAAGATTAGGAATGATGATATTCGAGACAAGGTATGTGTGGCTCCCATTGATGATTCGGGCATGTTCGGAGGAGAAGACTAGATGTTCCGGTAAGGAGGTGCGAACGGCTGGTTGTGGAGGGCACGAGAAGAGGTAGAGAGCGACCAAAGAAGTACTGGGTGGAGGTAATTAGGCAGGATATGGCGAGGTTGCAGATTTCCGAGGAAATGGCACTTGATAGGAACGTGTGGAGGTCGAGTATTAGGGTTGTAGGTTAGGAGGTAGTTGAATCTTGTCTTATACCATAACTATGTGAGACTAGTTTGGTTGGAATACTATTTTGCTTTTGCTGTGCGTTGTATCATTCTTCTTGATTTCATATCGTTCCTATTTGTCATATTTATCATGTTTGTCATATTTGTTCCATATTATTTCGGTGGTGTTACTTATATTGTTTTCTTTGTCTTTTTGTCTTCTTGAGCCGATGGTCTTTCGGAAACAGCCTCTCTACTCCTTCGGGGTAGGGGTAAGGTCTGCGTATACACTACCCTCCCCAGACCCCACTAGTGGGATTTCATTGGGTCGTTGTTGTTGTTGTTGTTGTTGCATGATTACCTCCTGAAACCGCATGAAAGATCTCCACTTTCTTCTTTCTTTTTTTCTTCTTGATGATGGCAAGGATCTTTAGTACTGAAGAAAGAAACAATTCCTTAAGAGCAGAACTAAGAGAATGTATAGCTTTTCTCTACCCATCTCATTTTTGTTTTTTACCAAGAAATGATTTTGAGCTCAATCAGATTCTCACAAAACTTTTTTCCAACATAGACAGTCTGAGGTTATAAATTACTCGAAGAGTACATGAATCATTGGAAGAGCTTCTTGCATTAGTGTTCAAGATATTAGTGTTGTGAAGAGCGTGAAGCGAGGAAAAGCGACAATCTCCATTTCACGAGAAGCGAGAAGCGAAGCGCTCGCTTTTTTTAAGTCAAGCGGAATTTAAAAAAAAAAATTAAAATAAATACTGCATAGACAACACATGTAATTGTAAGAAAATGTTCAATACTTCAATTAAAAAACTAAAGAGTAGCACAATTAAAGCACAAAATGAGCATCCTATTCTTCTACAAGATTGTCAAATTCTTGTATTCCACTATCATTATTATATTGCTCGTCATCTTCTTTAACTTCTTCTTCATCAACTAGGGACGAAGTAGCAGAAATTGGGCAGAAACTGGAAAAATTGGGCAAAAATTTTCTGAAAAAATTTCGCCCACATTTCGCCGCTTTTTGGACGTTTAGAGAGAACGAAAAAGAAGAAGAAGAAGAAGACTGAAAATCAGAAGTGCAGAAGCAGAACATATCTGTACTGTTGAAGAAGAAGAACAACAACCCTAGTTGATGCTTTGAGATTATTTCAGAAATCAGAAGTTGATGAAGAAGAAAAGAAGAAGTCGCTGCTGTTGTCAAAGAAAAACCCTAGTCTCACTGCTGTTGAAGAAGTCCAGACAATGTTTATGGCTTAGAAACCTCGTTTTCTAATAAAATTGGGCTTGGGTTAATTTTAAACATAGAAGCGGACGCTTCTAACACTTCTTCTCGCTTCACCGCTTCTCGCTTTTTACAGAGAAGCGGTCGCTTTTTCGTACCAGAGTCGCTTCTATTACCTGAAGCGCTGCCCTTCACGCCTCGCTTCGCTTTTTTAATCACTACAAGATACTGAATGTGCTTTGTTGTTATTCACAATATTTTGGAAAGCGTTAAGCGCAAAAAAGCGACGAAGCCTCGCTTCACAGAAGCGAAGCGCGCGCTTTTTTGTTGTGAAGCGCAATTTAACACATAAATAAAAAAAATAGGCATAGATAAATGGCTAAGAACTCATTAAAAATAACATATTAAGCAAATAATAGATTCAATTCTTAAATTTACTACAATCAACAACCAAAAAAAAAAAAACAATTAATTCACGGAAGAAAACAAAAAAACAGAGCATAAAGAGCACTTTTAATAACAGAAAACAGAGCATAACAGAAGAAAAAGAAGTGGTATCATGATAACAAAAGAAACGTTTAATAACAGAAGAAAAAGAAGTCGTTTAGGGCAAAAAATGAGTGCTTAAAAAGTGAAAAAAATTGAAAGAAGAACAGAAGAGAAGAAGAATAACAGAAGAAGACAGAAAACAGAGCATGAAGAAGAAGAACTGAAGAAGAAGAACAGAAGAAGAAGAAACTTACCGAGATCCGGAGATGAAGTCGTCGCTGGAGTTCGCTGGGCCGGAGAAGAAGACCTTCGTATGTTTTGGTAACAGATGCCTTCTGCTCGTATGTTTATTTGCCCAAAATTTTTAAAAAAAAACCCTAGCTGATGCCTTCTGCTCGCTTAAGCGAGCTTTTTCTCGCTTTTTCTAACTCGTCGCTTCTCGCTTAAGCGAGAAAAGCGCTCGCTTTTCTAATGTGAGTCGCCTTTTTTCCCGAAAAGCGCTACCACTGCGCCTCGCCTCGCTTCATCGCTTAAAGCGAGAAGCGAGCGCTTTTAATAACACTAGTTATTCAACTGCATATCTTTTGCTAAAGCTGAACTTCATTAAGGTGTTAGTATTTGTAGAATCCGTGGCTACCACTCCTCTTGGCTTTCTATTTACTCTAGTTCATTATGCATTCCCTAGAGTCCAGTTGAGTCAAGAATTTGAAAAAAAAAAGGTGAATTACATCATGTTTTTATGGAACATGATGAATGCCTTCATGTCTATAAAGATACAAGCTGCATTACCTGTTGAATTCTGGACATCATAGTAGTGTTATCAAAGGTGAAAAGCGCAAAAAAGTTCTAAGGTTTGTTGGGGCTTTAAGCGCAAAGCTCAAATAAAGCACGAGCTTTAACGAAGAAAGGCACAAATGAAGAAAAACTACAAATATGTGTGTGTAGTCAAAGACTAATATCTATAAGCATGAATACCATATATATGGACAAAGAAATTGAAGAAAATTTACGATAAAGTAAACTATTAATTGTTTAGTGTCGCTTCTTCAGGATTACGCTCATTGGCAAGGAAAAGTATGCCTTAGAGCTTTGATGACAACACTAAAGCACCTGTTAAGCGAGACGAAGTGCTCAACACGTTTTTGAGCCTTGCTTCAGGGCTTAAGTGCGCTATAAGCACGCATTTGATAACACTGCATCGTAGCAGCCATCTCTTCTTAAATCTGTTTGTCCGCTTCTACTCGTGTTCTTGGAGCCTTTTGTCCATTTCTGCACAGATACTGCAGAGAAAATACTGCCTAAAGTTTTTAAGTTTAACTACAGAACAAATACAAAGGAAACACTGAAATTCCAGCTTAACTAGAAACAAGGATCAAAAGAAGGGACTAGGTCTCCACAAATGCCTATGCAACTAGATATGTCGCCACAAAAAGCCCTTGATTTTGTGGCAACTTCGTGGGTCGTAACTGAAAATCTGTTTTCCTGTAGTGTAATTAGGGTCCTTTGGTAAACTCTTTAGTAGGACGGGAGTTTTGTTTCACATCAAAGTTATGTTATACCTAAAACATTCAACTCCCTTGTAGTTGCAAGTTGCAACTTGTCTTTTCCAATCGCAAGGTTTGCATTTTCTCATTCAAGTCTTCAAGATGTTTGCTTTGTGCAGGTTGGAACGTCCAAATTGTTTTATATACAGACATATGATGAGTTGAATTTGTTTGGGTCTGCCCTGCTTTGTTTTTCTTTGTTGTAAGTATCATTTTATTTTTGGCAGGTGGTGAGCGACCTCCTGATTCCATTGTTGATGTGAAAGCTACAGAGTGAGCTAGTCATCTCTTTAAGCTATTGTCAGTCTCCTAACTATCTTAGTTATTAATTATTATTGATAATGTACTGTTATTTTACTTGTGTTATATGTAAGACATGATAAAAAGTGTTTGATTTGTCTTCTCTTGTTGTTATTTTATAAGAATGTCAGGTTTTCTCTCGTAGTTATTGTTTCTTTCCTTCCGTGCTAAAGATCCTTGCCATCATTACATAAAAAAAAGGTAGAGATAGAAATCTATCACAGTTTCAGTAGGGTATAATCATGTGAAAATGAAAAAAAAAAAAATAGATTAAGGGAGCTTAAACCTTCTAATAGTTAAAGCTGCAGCATAATATTTTTTTCCCTTCATTTTCACCATGATTATACCAATCCTGACACCGCATGAAATATCTCCATTTTCTTTTTTTCCCTTCTTGATTATGGCAAGGATCTTTAGCACCGAAGGAAAGAACAATACCTTTTGAAGAGCAGAACTAAGAGAATGTGTAGCTTTTCTCTTCCCAGCTCATTTTTTCTTTGTTTTTTACTAAGAAATGATTTTGAACTCAATCAGATTTTTACGAAAACATTTTTCCAACCTAGACGGTATGAAGGTTATAAATTACTCAAAGAGTACATGATTCATGGGAAGAGCTTCTTGCATTAGTGTTCAAGATACTGATGTGCTTTGTTGTTAATTATTCAACTGCATATCTTTTGCTAAAGCTGAACTTCATTAAGGTGTTAGTATTTGTAGAATCCGTGGTTACCACTCCTCTTGGCTTTCTATTTACTCTAGTTCATTATGCATTCCCTAGAGACTAGAGTCCAGTTAGGCAGTTACAACAACAACAACAACCCAGTTTTATCCCACAAGTGGGGTCTGGGGAGGGTAGTGTGTACGCAGACCTTACCCCTACCCTGGAGTAGAGAGGCTGTTTCCGACGTCCAGTTGAGTCAAGAATATGGGGAAAAAAGGTGAACTACATCATGCTTTTTAGGAACACTAATGCCTTCATGTCTATAAAGATAGAAACTGCATTACCTGTTGAATTCTGGACATGATAGAAGCCATCTCTTCTTAAATCCTTTTGTCCGCTTCTACTCGTGTTCTTGGAACCTTTTGTCCGTTTCTGCACAGATACTGAAGAGAAAATACTGCATAAAGTTTTTAACTGCAGAAACAAATAGAAAGGAACACTGAAATTCCAGCTTAACTGGAAACAAGGACCAAAAGAAGGGACTAGGTCTCCACAAATACATATCTGTGGTAACTTTCATCAGGTTGCCACAAAAACTTTCCATGCCAAATATTTCAAAATCTTTACTTTCCAGGCAACTAGATATGTCACCAAAAAGCCCTTGATTTTGTGGCGACTTCGTGGGTCGTAACTGAAAATCAAGTCTTAAACGTGTTTGCTTTGGTCAGGTTGGAACTTCCAAAAAAATTTGTATACCGACAAATGATGAGAAAATTGATGCTTTAAAGTTTTTTTAGTTCTGCGGTTGTAATTATCATTTTATTTTTGGCAGGTGGTGAGGGAACTCCTGATTCCATTGTTGATGTGAAAGCTACGCAGTGAGCTAGTCATCTCCTTAAGCTCTTGTCAGTCTTCTACTATCTTAGTTATTTATGAGAATGTAGTGTCATTTTCTTGTATTATTACTAAGACATGAAAAAAAGTGTTGTGATTTATCTTCTACTCTTGTAGTTATTTTATTACTAAGACGAGGAAAAATGTGTTCTGATGTTGTTATGATTATGGTTATGTTTGACGATGAAGCTTTTATTAGAGTAACTTGCTGTTTAGGGTATCGAATAGATTCAGTTGAAGCAGCTAAATAAAATAGTGGCCAACTTTGGGGAGGTGTTTATAAAAGGCAGTCCGGTGCACAAGGCATTCCCGTTCAGGTAGAGTCTAGGGAAGGGTCGTACCCCAATGGGTGTGATGTAGACAACTTACCATAATGCAAGCATCAGTGGCTGCTTTCACTGCTCGAACCCGTGATTTATAGGTCACACGGAGACAACTTCATCGTTGCTTTATTCGAATCACGAGTCATGATGTACATGCAATGGTGCGATAAAATGGCTACTGCTGAGTGTAGCCTATATAGTATTTTGAACACCTTAACAGTTAAAATGAGATATTTACTCTGTTTAAGCCAAAAATTTTAAAAATAATTAATGACATTATCTCTCTTTAGAAGAAAGGCATAGCTTATATAAAGAAAGATGCTGCACAATTCTTTCTTGTCTAATTCATCAGCAAGAGAAAATAAAAGAGCTCAATCGTAGATGGAAAAATCCAACTATTATTTTACTTCTCAAATCTTATACACTTTTTATTTCATTTTAGGTATCACTATTTTGCCTGAATAGGAGGTGTAATAAGGATTCTATGGTGCTTGAATAACAGCTTGTTTGGATGGTTGTTACCTATCGTATCGTATTGTTACTTTAAATACTTTGTTTTGATTGTTATTTAAATTTTATTGTATCGTATCGTTAAATCCGTCGTTACGTAACGATGAAATGTGCCACTTTATGTAACGACCGATTTGGTGTGGTCGCGTCGTTTCCTTGTGTTTTTCTCTCAATCTCACCCTTCATTATTATTAAATAATTTTATTTTATCATTTACCCTACCTTTTTATATACCGTATCATAATTTTCCTTTATAATATTGCAAGTTTATTCATCATATCATAGGTGCGTGATACCATAAAACGACGCCAAAACGACACAATCCATCCAAACATTGTATTCATCAAACGATACAGTACAATACAATACAATACGATACGATACATTATGAAACGATACGTAACAACCATCCAAACAAGCTGTAAATGGCTACTCAAAATGCGTCCCCTTTGCAACAAATGCTTTTCCTGAAATATGAGCAAGATTCGAGAGTTTAGAAACAAACATCATAATTTTTACTATTAATGTTGGAGATTGAACTTGATTTTGCTGAGGTATTAGTATGATATTAAAAAAAAAAAAAAACCACTATTCATATACAGAGGCAGAGCCAGGATTTCAAGCTTATGGGTTTGAGGTTCTAATCATTTAAAGTTACTAGGTTCCAAATTAATAATTTGTACATATTTAATGAATTTTTAAGATAAATATAGGGTTAGAATCAAAGCTACTGGGTTCGGTTGAACCCGCTCCCGGCTCTCTAGCTCTGCCCCTGTTCATATATGTTTGATAATTGCAGGTTGATGCTAATAACTATAGAGTAATAAATTGGGTAGCCCTCTACTAATTAAACCATACATACAGAGATTGAAATCAAGTGGCAAATGAACTTTGCTAAAAATGGATGAATGTATTTGTAGGACTAGTGTATTTTGATTCCCCACCAAATAAATAAGGATTATGTACCCTATAATGTAAGGCTTAGTATATAATATAATATTTTCTTTTCACAAAAAAAGAAATTTTTTTTTTTACACAACTGCACTAGGAGCTGTAAACTCGAGGAAATAGGTCAATTGGACCCTTTACAATTTGAATAGAAAAAAATAATCCTGCAATTCTTATACGAGTATAATACGAATTCATGTGTGATCCCGCCAATATTTGTTTGCAATAATTTAGGTATGGAACACTAGTGTTTTTAACGTTTTAATAAATCTTGCTGGTTAGTAGAGGCATATAGCTTTCATAGCTCAGTTGGTTAGAGCACCCGTTTAGTAAGTGGGAGGTCTTGAGTTCGACTCTCAATGAAAGCAGTTCTTTTTTTCCTTTTCTTGATGAAGCTGCTAATACTGAATTTGTAAACTATGAAGGGAAAGATGAAGCATTCAAAGAGTTTCAAAATTTAAATTTTCAATCAAGCACTTTCCCATCTCTTCTAAAATTTTGGATGAAAATGCATTTAAGTTTGAAGATTAAAATACATAAAAATCTAAACTAACTTATAAAACTAGAGAATTGTATGTTCCTTTTTGTTTTGTAAATGCAAAGGTATCAATTGGAACTTGGAAATGATTAAAACAAGTCATAGAAAAAAGAGAAATAGTCAAAGACATTTTCTATCAAAACCATATTATAGTTAACTCTTCCTAAACATAATAAGATTAGTCTTAACACAGTAACGAAAATAAGTCAAAGAACAAACTTTAATTCGTTATTTGTGACGTTCTCTATTAATTAAGTCCTAAAAAGACCAACAAAATTTATTGTATGAGAGTCAATTCATTTAAATGTCTATATAGATTTTTCTTAAGCATATGGTAGAATAAATGTGATAAAAATGAAGAAAATAGGAGAAATTATACACACAAAAAAAATGAGAAAGCAATATGAGATCTCCTTCCAAGTTCCAACTTTTTGGTATTAAGAACACTGGTTTTAAAAATGAGTTATTGTCCTTCTTTAACTCTGATTGCCCAATTTGAAAATGGACACTTAATGCGTTTCACTTATTAGACCGATTGAAGTGATCTTAACCCTCCATTTATAGCTGTTGGACGGGACCAACCACTAGATTAACGAGGAGGAAGTAGTGTGTAAAGGCAGATGTAGTAGGGGTTGCAAACCGGACGGTACACAACTTGGTTTTGGAAGATATGGCACTAAACGTTGTAGAGCTGGTCGTCTTTCATATCGAGCCATTGAAGCAGCGCGTCGGGGAAAACGCCTTTCGTTTTCCACCCTTCGTCGGCCCTTGCCGCCTTCCTTAACAAGCCCTCGAGCCTCCTTTGCACCGCCTTCTTCATAGAAGCCGCCGGGTTTACCCGGAAGTCCGAATTCTAGGTTTGTCGAAGATAAGTATCAAGCCCTCTATGGCTGAACTAGACTAGATTTCGAGGATGAGTAGTGGATAAAAAGTCATCCCGAGGTATACTCACAAACTCTTTCACGAGCTGGACTCGAACCAGCATCTCTGGGAGCCACTCATAATTACTAAAACACCACCCAGAACGAAATGCGCCGTCAATGAAGTCGGTCAGTCAAGCCTGATCTTCGACCACACCCTTAACACTAATCTAGAAGCATTGATACACGAACAGAAGTGGGTGGAGCCACGTCCTTAGATCTTAGGGGTTTACTGCGCCCATATTCATTGAGATTTTACTTGATCTACGATAACTAAATCACGTTACGTTGCTTTGGGTGAACTATGTGTATGATGTAGTATGGTGCCATACTGTACCTACTAACTTGGCTTATTTGGTCAAGATTTGAGGGGGAAGTGCACAAACAACCATTTCTTAGGACTGCTATTTAGCGATTAGCAACTACGTATTTTGTCCTGACATATTTTGAGCCAAGACAAGACTGTTATTGGTAAAAATTACATGGGGCGTCCTATTTGGTCGCCCACATTTAACTTATACCCACTTTTTAAAAAAGTTTTAACATGTACTCACTTTTTAAACAACTTCAGGCATCTTTCTCCTCCTCCTCCTCCCCCTTCATTCTCCTCCTCCTCCTCCTTCTTCTTCTTCTTCTTCTTCTTCTTCTTCTTCTTCTTCTTCCTCGGGTGACAATAATTTTATATGGTGGTTGTGAATATATTTTAACGTAGTTTATGATGTTTTACAATGGTAACCTGTTATGACGTTTTATTTTTTACTATTGCTTAGGGTTTCTTCTTCTTATTTTTCTTAATTGCAAAATGGGTTCATTAGATTTATTGTTGTTTTGACAAATTGATGATTGAGGTTTGTTCCTGATGATATTTGTAGGCTATGTTTCAAATTTGAGCTCATTTGGAGTAGATTTTGCGTATTAAAGCGTATATTTAATTGTTATAATTCGAAGAACAATTTTCGTTTCTGGGCAGTTTTCACTTCAAACATATTGGCCTTAAGTGAATGAAAACGTTTGTTGCACTTCAGACTTTTTGGCCTTAAGTGCATCTGAAGTGTAATTTTTCACTTCACACTTATTGGCCTTAAGTGTAGCAAAACGTTTGTTGCACTTAAGACCTTTTGGCCTTAAGTGTCTGAAGTGCAATTTTTCACTTCAGACTTATTGGCCTTAAGTGCATGAAACTATTGGTTACACTTCAGACCAATTTGGCCTTAAATGCATCTGAAGTGCAAATTTTCACTTCAGACTTATTAGCCTTAAGTGAATGAAAATGTTTGTTTCACTTTAGACTTTTTGGCCTTAAGTGCATCTGAAATGTTCACTTTAAACTTATTGGCCTTAAGTGCATTTGACGTGCAAGTTCTCACTTTAGACTTATTAGCCTTAAGTGCATGAAACCATTGGTTGCACTTCAGACCTATTTGGCCTTAAAGTACATTTGAAGTGCAATTTTTTCACTTCAGGCATTTCTTTTATTACTTCAGACCATAAGTCTGAAGTTGGTCGTAAAGTGGGTACGCTTGAATACTTTTTTGCATAGTGAGTATAGGTTCAACTGTGACCCCAAAACCGAATATAGATGTAAAAGCCCCGTGTTATTGAATGACTAGTATCAAGATCATGGTTCACTCTCTCTATGAGTATTAACAGTCACATCTTGGAGTTCCTTTATAGGCTAAAATAATAATTCTTTAGTTCTTTAAAAAGTGGCCATATGGGTTGGATCTCCATTTATATTGTCCTCGTATAAGGAATGGTCACTATCACAAAAGGACACTACTATGGGTTTCTCACTTATCCTTTAGTCTTTTTCATCACCAAAAACTACAAAAATTATCATAGTATGAAGTAATTTTTACAAAAAAAAAAAAAAAAAAAAAACAATTAATATAATTATGATACAAAATTATAAAAGAAAAAGAAAAATTGCCAGGCTGGATATATG